ATAAAATACATAGTAAGATTGTGAATGTCAACCCAACAGTTATCACATTAAATATAAATGAACTCGAATTAAAAGACAAGATTTTCAGATTGGACTCAGGAAACAAAAAGGCACAGATAATTTAAAAGGATTAAAAAGATATACCATGTAAACACTACCCCCCCAAGTGCTTGTGTGATTGTATTACTAATACATAAATTTGACTTTAAGAAATATTACTAAAGATGAAAATGTCATAGTGACAAAAGTTTCAATAAAGAAAATCCTTATAATCCTATTAGTAGGCAGCCAATAATAACACTTCAAATATATAAAACCAAAATATCAGAACTAAATGGAGAAATACACAAATCCACAATCATTGCCAAAGATTTTAATGTACATATCTCAATATCTCATTAAAAATCAGACCCAAAATCAGTAACAATATAAAAGATTTGAACATTATGAAACAACTCAATCAACTGACCTATGTAGATCACTAGTCCCAACAACAGAATATATGTTCAAGTGTACATGGAACATTGACCAAAATAGACCATATGTTAGGTCATAAAACAAGCTTAAGATATTTTTAAAAATTGAAATCATGCAGAGTATGTTCTTAGGCCATGATGAAATCACACTGAAAACTGACCAAAAAAAAAAAAAGAACCACTTCTAAATGATCATGAATAATGGAAATTAGAAAATATTTAAATAAGAAATAATGAAAGCACAACATCCAAAATGGTGATGTAGCTGAAGCAATGCTTAGAAGGAAATTTATCTAAAACTTCAAATCTCAAGAGCTGGGAAAAGAAGAGCAAATTAAATCCAAGATAGTAAAAAGAATGGTATAATAAATGATTAGTAATAACATGTAAATAATAAATGAATAATAATTCAATGTAATTGGTACACTGAATTTACTATACCAATGAGTTAATTGATATAATAAATGAATAGAAATAAATAATATGTGAATCATAATAAATGAGCAGAAAGCCATGAAAGATAAAGCAGACATAAATAAACTAGAATAAACACAATAAAACTAAATATCACTCGGGGCACCTGGGTGGCTCAGTCGTTAAGCGTCTGCCTTCGGCTCAGGTCATGATCCCAGCGTCCTGGGATCAAGCCCCGCATCAGGCTCCCTGCTCCGCAGGAAGCCTGCTTCTCTCTCTCCCGCTCCCCCTGCTTGTGTTTCCTCTCTCGCTGTGTCTCTCCCTGTCAAATAAATAAATAACATCTTTAAAAAAACAAAACTAAATATCCCTCACTTAAAAAGATTAGTGAAATTGGGCGCCTGGGTGGCTCAGTTGGTTAAGCGACTGCCTTCGGCTCAGGTCATGATCCTGGAGTCCTGGGATCGAGTCCCGCATCGGGCTCCCTGCTCGGCGGGGAGTCTGCTTCTCCCTCTCATGCCCTCTGTCTCTCATTCTCTCTCTCTCAAATAAATAAATAAAATCTTTAAAAAAAAAAAAAGATTAGTGAAATTATTAAATTTCTAATAAAACTGATCAAGATAAAATAACAAGTAAAGAAATTATCAGTAATAGGAATGTAAAAGGAGACAGCACTACACATCCTACAGACATTAAAAGGACAAATGGCTTCAAAGGACATCAAGAAGGTGAAAATATTTTCCACAGAATGGGAGAAAATATTTGCAAATCATGTATCTGATAGAAGACATGTATCTAGAATATATAAAGAACTCTTATAACTCATCAGTAAAAAAACCTTAAAGCTCAATTAGAAGATGGGCAAAGAATCTGAATAGTCATTTCTCCAAAGAAGATATACAGATGACCAACAAGCACATGAAAAAATGCTCAGTATCATTAGCATTAGGAAAATACAAATCAAAGCCTCAAGGAGATACCACTTTGCATCCACTAGAATGATTAAAATAAAAAAGATAGATAACAAATGTTGACAAAGATGAGGAAAAATTGGAACCCTCATATGTTGCTGGTGAGAATGTAAGATGGTGCAGCTGCTTTGGAAGACAGCTGGCAAAACTTTTACATAAAAGCATTGTTCATAATATCAAAAAAGTGGAAACAACCCAAATTTCCTTCAACTGATGAACCAATAAGCGAAATGTGGACTAGCCATATAATGGAATATTATTCAACCATAAAAATGAATGATATATCTGTATGTTAACTAACTGGAATTTAAATTTTAAAAAAAGGAATGATACATTGATACATATGAAAACAGAGATGAACCTTGAAAACATGTGAGGGGCACCTGGGTGGCTCAGTTGGCTAAGTGTCTGACTCTTTGTTTTAGCTCAGGTCATGATCAAATGGCCCGTGGGATTGAGCCCCAAGTCAGGCTCCACACTCGTGGGGAGTCTGCTTGGGGATTCTCTGCCTCTGCTCCTCTCCCAACTCAAGCACATGTGCTCTCTCTTTTTCTCTCTAAAATAAATAAATGTTAAAAAGAAAAAGAAGAAAACCCATTATGTGAAATAAAAGAAGCCAGTCACAAAAGACCACATATTGTATGATTCCATGTATATAAAATTTCCAGGCTGGACAAATCTATAGAAGATAGAAAGTAGATTAGTGGTTGCCTATAGCTGAGGGTAGGAGACTCAGAAAAATGGGGAGAAACTGCTAATGGATATGGGATTTCTTTTGGGAGATGAAAATGTTCTAAATGGATTCTGGTGATGGTTGTACAACCCTGTGAATACACTAAAAATCATTGAATTGTTCATTCTAATTGTGTTAATTGTATGGTGTGTTAACTATATCTTTCAAAAGCTGTTCAACATATGAAAGGATATTATGAACAACCTTACACCAAAAAAAATTATCTACTTAGATGAAATGTTCTTTTAAAAATTTGTTAAACACAAAAAGAAATAGAAAATATGAATACTCATAATCTGTTAAAGATATTGAATCTGTAATTTAAAATCCTCCCATAAAGAAAATTTCAGGCTGAGATGTTTCATAGGTAAATTATTCCAAACACTTAAGGATGGAATAATACCAAAATTACTTTGATAATTGTAATTATCATAATCCATTTACATTATTATAATTACTGATATATTTGAACTTATTTCTACCATACTTCTTTTTTTCTTTTTCTCTCTTTTTCTGATTTCTATTGGATTTACAAGTCCCATTCCTACCCCTCACCTCCACTTGTTTGAGAGGGTCTAGGTTGCATTTCTATTCTTTCAGTAGTCACCTTGAAGTTTTTAACATAGTATTTTCCTAGCAGAGTCTAAAGTTACTCAGTAATTCTCTTCTAAACATGCCTGCTTTAAGCCCATCAAAGCGCACTTTAACCAGCCATTGAACACCCACAAATGCTGCTCAAGCTAATCTTACTATCTTTGTCTTAGAGTTTAGATTTTACCACTTTTAAACAGGTTTTTTTAATTTATTTACAATCAAGAGTTAACTAAATGTACTTTTTTTTTTTAAAGGCCACTGAACTAATTTTTGAGAATCTCTTTTCTGAGACTTTAAAAGAGGGCCCAGTGCCTGCCTGACACAGAGTAGGCGCTCAGTAAATGGAATCCGCCGTACCCCACCTTCCAGCACACACAGTTGTCTCTTTAGCACTAGATGTGAGCGCTCAGCAGGCATAGATTCCAGGGTTGGATCCATTTCATGGACAGTTGTCAAAGACTGACCTCTCCTTATGTTAATTTTGTGAGTACTGTACTTGATTGTGCAGTATGCTAAACGGTGCAGGATTAAATGTTCTCATTTCTGAGCTGTGAAGTGTTGAAACTGATCAGGAAATGAAGGCAGAATGTCCATCCTCTGGGAGAAGAATCAGCCAGTCTATGTGGCCGCCACTCTTGGCTGCTGATTGGAATGTAGCTGTTAAGGCAGCTGTTTAACCGTTTGCCCAACTTGAAAGGATACTGCCAAGTGGCAAATACTTTTCATAACAACATTTTACTTTTGCTAAGAACAACAATGCATTTTACTGAGCTCCAGCAGTGTGCCAGACATGACAGATTTATGACTCAGCAGGTTCACAACCTAGACTGAGCATGAATGCTCATTTCCATTTTTGATATTTATAAAAAGAATAAATAGGCCCCAAAGGAAGCCTCTACACAAAACATCTCTACAGCTTAATTATTTGTTGGAGTGATAGCAGATTAACTTGTGAAAATGAAATATCTCTGAAAGGAAAAATGAAAACCTAGAAATGTCAAAGGAAAAAGGGAAAGGGTTAAATATTTTAAGCCTCTCTAATGTGACTCAAGGGTTATTTCACTCCACCTGTCCAGGACAGATGAGGACAACAGTAGCACAGGAAACACACCATCTTCTGCATCCCCTGCATTTCATGGGTCTCATTCTGGGTCATGCAGTTAATATATGCTGTTAATTAGAATACTGACACAAAGTACTTAGTAAACAACTGTGTTGCATTTGACAGGCTGTGAACTGGGTGGGGTAGGGCTGGGGGATTATCAACTATTTTATTTAATGGTAAAAGCAGTGTGCCAAATATGAACATTCAAAATTAAGAAAACACATTTAAATGCTTAAGTATGATTTTCTTCCAAACTCCAAAGTGCATAGATCATGATCATGTTAGGTTGCTTTCCATACTCAATATATTCTCCCTAGTCAGAAGTTCATGCCTTCAAAAAGGCTTATGGAAAAGGGCTCTAGGCATTAGAGGGATCCTGTACACACCTATTGTTTGTTCCACTTGAAATGATACTAGAAGAAAGCCTTAACCAACATTAATAGCATTTAGTGTGCAATTCCCACAAACCTTTATGAAGACTGCAGGTGTTGAACCAGAGGGATGCCTTCTCATTTTAATAAACCACCATCATCAAAGCTGGAGTGGAGATGTTTCTGAAGGTGAACTGGGCTGAACAAAGGAATGGTCAATGGAGGTTCTAATTTCCTTTTTCTCTACTGTTAACTAAATCATAGATGACAACAGTCTAGTCAGCCTGTTTCCTCAAATTGCAAAAGCACACATTTTCACAAAGTTGACATGATTTCTTGAAGAAAGATAGACAAGCTTTGTACTCTTGTTTTTCAGGGATAGAGTAAAGTGGTAAATGCAAATCATGGATGAAATTTATAAGATCGCTTCCACAGAAAGGATCCAGCAGTTAGAAAAAGAACTGTCTGTGCAACTGACTGAACTGAAGTCTGCAATAGAAGAACAGGGGACTCATGGAGCTTACAGGTGAATAGTAGTAGTGAGAAGGCATGGTCTTCAGGGGCTTTAGCCCCCACTTTTGCCCCATAATCTCCATCAGCTCCCTCTTCTTTTTATATAGACAACTAGCATTATCTCAAGCTCAGATTTTATGGCTGTCTGTAAGTGTTCCCTATATTTCTAGAATTGCCAAGGCATTTAGAGGCAATGTCCTACCAAAGAAAATAGAAAAGTGCTTTTTACATTTCACAAATACCATTGTCTTAAAGTTCCAGAAGCTATCATACAAATCATACTCACTGAAAAGCAAGGTCTCATTTTACCCAAAAATATTTTCATTGAATTTGACCTTGATTTTGATGAGAAATATAAAAACTGAAATAATGCTAGGTATTTGGTAATGAGTTCTGCAAAATGGTATTTTATTAAGGAGCTCTTCTATAGGTAAATGTTGGCAATAATATCAATCTCTTCTAGATAAATAGGGTAACCAGATCAGCCCCTAAGTTGTAAGTCTCATGGGCTCAGGACCTTCAAATCCCTCTATTTCTATTAGTGCCACAATTGATCAAGAGGAACAATATGAGGTCTCTGATAGGTTGAGTAGCCAAGTAAATACAATGTGGATGGTGAGGGTGGGAAAGGGAAGATCAGTTGAAAAAGCAGTAAGTAGGTGCATTACTACCTCACTCCAAAGATGATTCTGAAGAACCAGTATTAGTGTGTTTTATAATTTGGTATTTAAAGCCATTGGGGTGTAGGAAGCAGATCAAAGATTGTATGATGAAGTGAAAAGGTAATGGAACCATGCAAGCCATAAATTCTCCCAACTTCAGTTTCTTTCTGTGAAAAATGAGGTTATAGATATGTACCTTGCCTATCTTATAAGGATCAAGTAAGATAATGCACGTTAAAGCACTTTGAAAACTAGAAGACACCATACAAAGATCAAGTTATAATTGATATTGTTACATCTTAAATGTCTGAGTGTCAAACAAGTGACTCCTCTTTGTACATTGTCCTGAAGTCTCTTTTATCTTTCAGAATAGAGTGATGGGAAATCTCTGGACCCTTGTATTTTTCTACTCCCCCAAACCACTAACACTGCACTTGGAAGAATCTACCTATTAATCTGACAAATACTGAGCAACTTCTGTTTGCCAGGTGTTGTACTAGGTTCTGGAGTCCAAGGAAAATGTAAAATGTCCACTTCTAATAATCACTTTAGTATTCTCATTCCCCACCAGACTGAAAAAATTTATTGAGAACTGTAGGATAATGATGCCTTGGTCATTTTTCTTTTTACATTCTTTCATCAATTTATCCCCATGAGCTCAAGTCTTTATAGTGGTTAAGTATCTCATAAATGCTTGCTGAATGAATAGATGAATGAATGTATGTTGAATAAACAATACTTGATGAACAAATAGGTGAATCTCTTTTTTGTGGGTTGACATACTCACCACCAATCTCATTCATAGACACTTCAAGACTAACTGAGATGAAAAACATGATTTGAGTAAGGGAAGGTTCAGCAGCTAAGCTCAGGACACTGCCCAGTCTTCCAGCATGCCAAAGAAATTCGAAGACAAGAGGGCAGGAGAGGGATGAGCTTCCTCTGTTTCCCTGACTGCCTGTTCCCTTTCTAGTTGGTTACTTGACCTCCATGAGGCTGCAGCCAGGATTCAGGTACCCAGGAATCACAGAAATTATAGCTTTGATTTAGTAATGCTTTTACTCTTAAGGCCCTTTCAGAGCTTGCCTCATTTTTTTTTTTTTTTAATCAAAGCCAAGGTGTGAGGAGATAAGGGAGGCATTATCTCCAACTTCAGTTGGGAATTCAACACAAATGGCTCAATGAGTTGCTTCGAGTCATGTGGCTGAGGGACCTCCTGACTGGTCTTTTCACAGGACCACTGTCCCCAGTGAGGGGAAGAGCTGACAAGTGTACAAACTAACAGTCTATTTTCATCTTTCCTTAAAACTTACCCATGGGGACTAATAGGGTCATATGAACAATATTAACCTAAATTCCACTGCCTACCATCCCTCTCAAGTCTCTAGGTGGTTTCTTACATGTGTTTCACAGCTACCTGCTGTGGTTTCCTTGCCAGTGTTTGCAAGGTTTCACTTAAGGAAGTGATGTCTACATCAGTGGTGCTGTCCCCTGATGTTCCCAGAGCTGCCAAGCCTTGGCGTGTGTCTTACCCCAAATGGGGAGAGCTCCCTTCTTCCTGCCACAGGATCCCACGCCATTCCTGGGCCCCACAGCAGTGCTGCTTGTGCCTTCTCACGTCAGAGCCCATCGTGCAAACAACTCCTTTGTGACTAGGCTCGGATGATAGAATTCGGTTAAAAAAAATTCCCAAAGTATTTCATGTTTGATAAACCAGCAAGAACACAGAAATAAAAACATTCTGTTTAAATTATAAGAGTCTAGTTTAAGTAGGGTGAGAGATGCCTGATGAGCACTTGTTAGAGCTGAGATTACTGGAGGAAATACAGGTGGGGGAAAGAAAAATCTCCACCACTTTGCCTCTTCCTGTATTCTGGGATTGAAACCAGAGAGGTAAAATCACGGGTAGTAGGAAAGATCCTGTTTGGGGTGAAGAAAATTCGCCCAGGGAAAAGGTTAGCAAACGAGGTATACACAAGAGAGATTCAGACTAAGACAGAAGCATGTGGTCTTTACATGCTCTCAATAATCCACCCTAATATGACATAGTTATTTAGAAATTAGCAGTTGTGAAGAGTTACAGATTAATCAGGGTCTGTCTGTAATTTTGTTTATGACAGTTTCTATAATTACAGCATCTATTGCATAAATCTTTCTACAGCTCTGTTTGAATACCAAAGGACATTTCTTACTTTAGAAGAGAAAGGGAACTGGCTCTAAAGAAAACTTTACAGGTGAGTAGGAGTGTAATTGTAATACACAACTGTATTGTAATACAACATATGTTGGATTTTGCTAACTTTTTGGAAACACTTAGCAGGAAAATTTTATTTTCGCAAACAATCAGCTGATGTTATTGACAGTGTTATGAGAACAAAACAGCCCAATACTCACTACTAGATCAGAGCAGGCCACTACGTCTTTGGAGATACTTACTTTTTGTGATGTTTTAAAATTTTACAGTTTCTTGATTTGTGATATTAAAATTTGTTATATTGTAACTGAGGTATAACAGTATAATGTGTTGTATGTCATTTGCTGTCATAAACAATGATAATTTTACTTCCTTACTTCTTTTTGTTTGCCTGCTCTGTTGCCCTGGGTTCAGGTGGCTGAGTCAAAGTCCCTTGTTGTTCAAGCAGATGTCATGCAGAGGGAGCTAGAGAGCTGCCTAAGAAGAGAGTACACTCCTGAAAATTTACCTTTGCTTCTGTTGCAGGTAAGTCATGTTGCAACCTGAAAAACAGATCTGGAAATTAATAGAAATGTATGAACAAAGTTGGCTTTCTGGTATATCCTCTGGCTAGGGTAGGATTTTCTCTACCTGTGTAGTTTGCAGAACTTGATTAGTGTAAATTCTGTTCTTTGTCAGAGACCCATGTCATAGTTCAGTTCGGTTTAGTTGTAGTCACTAAACAATTGATTTTTCGGGCTCCCTGCTCGGCAGGGAGTCTGCTTCTCCCTCTGACCCTCCCCCCTCTCATGTGCTCTCTCTCATTCTCTCTCTCTCAAATAAATAAAT